CTTTTTCTGTGGAGAATTATTAATTGGTCCTCAAATGTTACTGCTCCTAGAATATGTTGATTTTTTTATTATTTGGGAAATAAGACATTTCATGGAGAAGTATAATTTGTGAAATTATTTTTAAAAATACGAAAATGAAGTTTTTGATGTAAATTTGGGATTGTTGCTTGTGGAATTTTTTTTTGTTAAATATGGAGAATAAGTGTTAAAATCACGATTTTATTGGATTTTTTTTTTAATAAGAAGCCCTTTTTGCATTTTTTAAGGTTTTCTTCTTTTTTAGGTAAAGAAAATTTCAAAAAAATAAGTAAAATTTTAGCTGAAATGCGAAATTTGATTTTTTTTTTTTCACTGATCATTTTTTCAGCCCAGAGCACCGAGACCTAGTAAACGCAGTGCACCGGAGCCAGTGCCGAGACTCTCGGCTACACCAAGACCTACCGTTGCAAGACGTTCAGCTTTAACACCCTCATCGTCAGGACCGCCCAAGGTTTTTTATTTTGAGCTTGATTCAGGGAAAAGTTTGTAAAAATTTTCATATTTCTATAAAATTTTCTGTAAAAATCATGCGTTTTGTGCAATTTCGTTCACCGAACGATTGCCTGCTAATGATTTTCACTGCTCTGAATTTAAATTTGCGAGGTTGCACGTGGGAAGAGAACAATCCCCCAAAATTTCAGTTTCTTAGACTTCGTGGTTTCCGAGATAATAGTTTACCCGCCAAAAGTTTCACAGGGGCCTTATGTGTTACCCGCGGGCACGGGAAGATTGTTTTTAAATTTTTCTGGGTCGCACCTGGACAGCGAACATACCGATAAAATTTTAGCTTTCTAGCTCCCGTGGTTCCCGAGATATTAACTTACCCGCGAAAAACTTTCACGGGGCCGTACGCGTTACCTGCGGGTACGGGGAAGCTGAATTTAAATTTGCGAAGTCACACGTGGATGGGGAACGTTGCCGTAAATTTTCAGCTTCCTAGCTTTTGTGGTTCCCAAGTTGAAAGTTGCGGACAAGTTGCTGCTGACACACACACACACAC